ATGGGATGGAATCAAACTGGGATGGGGGTGGGATGGAGCCGTGATGCAGCCATGATGGAGCCATGACGCAGCCATGATGCAGCCATGATGCAGCCATGATGGAGCCATGACGCAGCTATGATGGAACCATGATGCAGCCATGATGCAGCCATGACGCAGCCATGATGGAGCCATGATGCAGCCGTGACGGAGCCGTGATGGAGCCATGACGCAGCCATGACGCAGCCATGATGGAGCCATGATGGAGCCATGACGCAGCCATGACGCAGCCATGATGGAGCCATGATGCAGCCATGACGCAGCCATGATGCAGCCGTGCCACCCGCGCCGCACTCACACGGCGATGGACAGGTTGGCCGCCGACAGCGGGCTGACTTCTGCCACCTCCTTGGCCTTCTGCAGCGCCAGCTTCTGGTTGGCGGCCTCCTCCTCCTCCTGCTCGTCCTGCACAGCCCCCCCAGCCCCCCTCCCCATTCAGCACCGGGGGGCCGCGGCACCGCGGAGCCCCCAGCCCCGAGCCCAGCCCTCACCTTGGTCAGCTCCTGCGCGTTGGCCAAGTTGTCCACCGCGATGGCCAAGAAGACGTTCAGGAGGGTGTCTGGGGGCTGGGTCAAGGCAAAGAGACCCCAGCGTGGCCCCCCCCCGACCCCCAGAGCCCCCCCCCCGAGGATGCAGACCCCCAAGGATACAATTCCCAAAGAGGGTGAGGACGATGAAGTAGACGGAGAACATCATCCCCCCCTTGACGCCGCCCTGAGATTTGATGCCGTCGTACATCACCGCGTTCCAATCCTCTCCTGTCAGGATCTGCGGGGTGGGGGGTGGGGGTCCTACCTGAAACACCGTCATTATTGCTGCTGGGAAAGTGTCGAAGTTGGTGGGGGGGGTCCCGGTGTCAAAATTGAACCTGGGAGGGGGAGGCGGCTGTCGGATCCGGGGGGGGGGCTCAGCGGGACCCTCAGGGTTGGGGGTGCCCCCCCTCCCCCCCCCCCCCCCCCCAAACCCCCCCCCCCCCCCCCCCCGTTACTCACTGCCCCCCGAAAAGCTGCATCCCCAGAAGGGCGAAGACGACGATGAAGAGGAAGAGGAGGAAGAGGAGGCTGATGATGGACTTCATGGAGTTGAGGAGGGAGACCACCAGGTTCCGCAGGGAAGCCCAGTACCTGGGGGGGGGACAGACGGTCAGGATGGGGACAGACGGACACAGAGAGAGGGAAGGACGCACGGACGGGGGGGGGAGCCTTACTTGGTGACCTTGAAGATGCGCAGTAACCTGAGAGCTCGCAGCACGCTGATCCCAAAGGAGGTGCCTGGCTTCACCACGGCCCAAATCACCTCAAAGATGCTTCCGATGATAACCTGGGGGGGCGGGGGGCACAGGGTCCCCATTGTGCCCCCATTGTGCCCCCACTGTGACCCCATTGTGACCCCATTGTGTCCCCATTGTGACCCCATTGTGCCCCCATTGTGACCCCGTTGTGTCCCCATTGTGCCCCCGTTGTGCCCCCATTGTGACCCCACTGTGACCCCATTGTGACCCCACTGTGACCCCATTGTGCCCCCGTTGTGTCCCCATTGTGCC